ACACTTAAATTGACAAACCCCAATTTTTTGATATCTTTAGAGGGTATCTGGCAGGCAAGTAATGCAACTCTATTCCGTCTGAGTATTCGAAAAGAAAGTATTTTTAATCAATCTGTTTTGAGTTGCTATCACACACCTCTGGAGCAGGTGGGGCTTGAATGTGGGCTTCCATGGCTGAATCATTTAGTGAGTTATTCAGCTTCTGGAGAAACAGGGCCACTTGTGTTTAGATCATAGAATCCCTACAGTGTGGAAACAGGCCATTCGGCCCAACAAGTCCACACCACCCCTCCGAAGAGCATCCCACCCAGACCCATTCCCCTACCCGTGCATTTCCCATGTCCAATCCACCAAACCTGCACATCTTTGGACTGTGGGAGGAAACCGGAGCACCTGGAGGAAACCTATGCAGACACAGGGTGAATGTGCAAACTCCATATAGACAATCACCCAAGGCTGGAATCGAACCAGGTCCCTGGCGCTGTGAAGCAGCAGTGCTGACCACTGAGCCACCGTACCACCACTTGGATGGAAACTGCATGCAATTCATTCCTTAATAATGGTGAACAGTGACAGCCTCCCCAGCATTACTCTAAATTTCAGGCCAATGTTAGAACTTGAGACTAAATTGAATAATTTTAGGTTCCACACAGACGGCAATGAAAGGGTTTTTCTTTCACTAAGTTTTTTACTGAACAAACCCAAAACATGTTACCCATCAAAATCTAATCACTAATAGTTCCCTTTTCCTGATAATTGCCTTTCTTTGTTTTTGGTAGCTTTATTGCATTCATTGTTGCAAAATGCTGCACGGCTGAGGCATTTTATTTTGAGAGAAAAACAAAAATGGAAGGTGGCTGCAAAAATATAACCTTAGTTAATGCCATCTGGAGTACAGCTTGTTCAAGGGTAGCTAAAGGGATGACCTGTACACTGCTTATCTGCAATTGTGCAAACTATTAATGATCTTATCCTTCACTTTTGAGAAACCTCCAGCAGTGTTTTCTACTCCATTACATTTCTCAGAGAAGGTTAGTCAAACTAATGTAAGGAAAACAGAAATAAATAACTCCTCAAAGTTAGTACATCCCAATAATTGTTAGACTACTGCTTCTGAGTATACACTAATTGGAACTCAGCCTCTGGAATATTGTCCAACCAGAAACCCAGGATCAGAATAGGGAATCATATCTCATCAGGATTCAAACACACAACAAAAAAGGTGGGACTGTTGTGCTACAGTGGTAGTGCCTGTACCTCTGAACTAGGGAGCCAAAGTTCAAGTCTCACCTGCTCCAACAAATGTATGACCTGAATACGTTGATTAGAAAGTTTAAAGGAAAAAACAAAAGTAGGTGGTTGATCCACACGTGATAACAACATTTTACTTTTGGTGAATTGACAAATTTCTCTTCCATGTTTTTCAACCTTGTTTGTGACCCGCCCTATTAGGTGCTCAGTCTATCAACACGTTTCTCCAAATAGAAGTGCTGCACTCTTTCTTTGTTTGCCATACAACTCAAACTGTTGAAAAATCACCATCACAGCTCTAAATGTGTGATATCACAATAAACAAAGACGAGGCAGTTTTCCATTAAGACCATCAGATATAGGAGGAGAATTTGGCCATTTGGCCCATCAAGTCTGCTCTGCCATTGGTTATGTTTCTCATTCCCATTCTCCTGCTTTCTCCCTGTAACCTTTGATCCCCTTACTGATCAAGAACTTATCTATCTCTGTCTTAAATACATTCAATGACTTGGCCTCCACAGCCCTCTGTGGCAATGAGGTCTCGGCCTTTAGGATAATAGTCCATCAGCAATCAAAATACAACTGACGAGGTCACAACAGCAGAATTTGCGATCTAGGTGTAATTTAAAAATACACAGTCCAATATGGCAAACAGCACAAAGATCACTACACACAATACCGTGCCTTTCATTGGCCCAATGAATATCAGAAGTGGTCAATGTCATACCCAGTGCATTTCCAGATCTGGAGAAATGCCAGAGGATGTCTCCTTTGCAACGATATAAAGCCGATGTGTACTTGTAGTGAAACACAATAATGCCCCAAAGTAGTGAATGGGTTAGCTGAGAAAGTGGCTCTTTCCAACTGGACCAGAAGTTGATGGACATGTGATTCTCACATCTCTTCTGGTTCACATATCAAAACTTGCACTACTTCCAACCCCCATCCCTCAAGGCTACCACTAATTTCCATACCAACAGTTTCATTTCTACTTCAGCCAGATGGCTCCATGTGTTGCAAAGTAATTCAATCAGTTAAACAAAAGGTACCTACACCACTGGGGTCAAAGCAAGTTCCACTAATTGTCCCTAGAGCATGTACTAGCCTCTTCTTATATTATTACAGACAATTTATCCATCACAGTGAAGACGTATTAACTTCACAGATTTAAACAACATCACTGTCTCTTTAAAGAGGAAAATATCCTCCCTCCCATCTCACAATTTACAGCACATTCTTGTTTATGATGCTTCATGTGGGATTACCACCTTATCTGTCAATCAAGACAAATGAGAGAATTTTAGAAGTTATCTTTAAATGAGCTTTAAGGGAAAGTGCCATAAAGATCACCCCTGGAAAACTTGTAAATAGAGCACTGGAGATTGATATATTATTGCACGAACAATTCAAAGACTTACATGTCATGCAAATTAAGGCTTTCTCAAAGTACCTAGGTAATACATAAAAGATTGTAAGACCACAAATGTAGGAGCAGAAGTAGGCTGTTCAAACCATCAAATCTGCTCTTACATTCAATGTGATCATGGCTGATCTGATAATCCTCAATTCCACTTTCCCATAACCCTCGAATCCCTTACTGATTAAAAATATGTCTATCTCAGCTTTGAATATATCTAATAGCTCAGATTCGATTGTGCGCTGTGGTAAAGAATTCCACAGTTTCACTGCTCAAGAAGGGAAAAAAATTCTCCCCATCTCTCCCTTATATTGGTGATTCCTTACACTGAAATATTTCCTCTGGTCTTAGACTGTTACCCAAGGGAAAATAATCTTAAATGTTCATAGCAACAACAGTATGTACCATCTACAAGAGGCTTTGCAGCATCTTACCCACGGTTCTTGGGCAGCAAACCTACAACCTTGACCACCTAGAAGGACAAAGGCCACAGCTGTATGGAATCATCTATAAGCTGCCCTCCAAGTTGTACGCAATTCTAAATCAAAAATATATCTCTATTTCTTCATCACTGCTGTGTCACAATCATGGGACGCCCTCCCTAAGATCACTTTGGGAGGGTCTGCATCATACAAGTGACGATGGTGGCTGATGGTGGTGAGTTGGTTTGTGTCTGTGTTTTACCGGAGGTTTTAATGATGGGGCAGTGATAGTGTACTGTCAGTGGCTGGGTGGAGTCAGAGTACAGTAGTCCACAGGGAAACCTGTCAATCGTGGTGAAGGGAGACTGCAAAGAAGTGGAGCAAAATTGTGAAGGGATTTATAAACACAAATGAGGAAATATGACACGAATGCGAGGTTGGGAAGCCAGCAGAGGATAGGACTATGGCTCATTAAAACTTAACACACGATACGGTGAAGGTGACAGCTCTGCAGGAATTTATTTGCTCTGCAGCTCATGCAAATAAGTGATTGGAAGCAACTAAAACATGATAAATTCCAACCTAACCAGCCTTTCTTTATAACTCAAACTTTCCATACCAGAAGGTTGCCAGGTATGGAAGGTTTGAGTTATAGCGAAAGGCTGGATAAGTTGGGATTTTTTTCACTGGAGCGTAGGAAGTTGAGAGGTGACCTTATAAAGGTTTATAAAATGATGGGGGGTATAGATAGGGTTAATGGCAGGTGTCTTTTCCCTGGGATGGGGGATTTCAAGTCTGTGGTGCATATTTTTAAGGTGAGAGGAAAGAGATTTAAAAAAGACATGAGGGGCAAGTTTTTTACACAGAGGGTCGTTCGCCTGTGCAATGAACTTCCTGAGGACGTGGTGGATGCAGGCACAGTTACAATGTTTGAAAGACATTTGGATAAGTACATGAATAGGAAAGGTTTTGTTGGATATGGGCCAGGAGAGGAAAGTGGGGCTAGTTCAGTTGGGGATTACATTCAGTGTGGACTGGTTGGACCAAAGGGTCTGGAGACAATAAGAACTGCAGATGCTGGAAGCCAGAGTCTATACATGGGAAGCTGGAAAAGCACAGCAGGTCAGACAGCATCAGAGGGACCGGAAGTCAGCATGTTGGGCAGAAACCTTTTGTCAGGACCAAACAGATCGAAGGGTCTGTTCCATGCTGTTTGACTCTATGATGACAGTGAAAATAAAATACAAGTGATCTGAGGCATTGTTCCAGCAATGCTGAAACAAATCCATAATTCTTCTTAGGTTTTAGCTTTCATTTATTTTTAATAAAGTACGTGAAAAGTACTGGTACAATTTGCAAAATTATGACAGAGAAAACATTTCCTAACATCATACAAGCAAGAGTTGCTACAATATTTATTACGTCAATAAAGCTGAAGTCTACCAATTATAATGAATGCCCTCAAGTGCCTTTTAAGCTTCTTATTTCCAGACAGTAAATATGATTAAGCTTGGTAAAACAAAGTTCTCTTCCTATTCCAGATTAAGAATTCCCTGAAATTATTGTACCACGTTTATAATAAAATAAAGAAGTTTCCTTTATGCAAACATCTGAGCGTCCTCTATTCTAGTCTCAATCTGAAACTTGAGTTCAAATGAACGGAATATTCCAATTGCCAACTTACAATTGGATTCTTTTCTTCAATAGCAAATGTAGAAAATCAAACAGCTGAAGGTGGGAAAATCTTAACTTAAGCTGAGAAAGAGGCAAGTGCATATTTTCTAGAATAATTTTCAAAATTAGGGCCAAGATCATTGCCTCCCCAAACGGATTTTGTGTTTTCTTTTACTACAAGTATCTACAAAAACGCAACGGCAATACAATGGTGGATGGATGCAGATGAATCTGACCTGGGAGGAACTGACAATTCTTCTCTTGTCCCGGCACCAGTCCATGCACAGCACTTTATTTCCATGGCCTTTTAGGGTCCGTCTTGTCTTCATCACGAACTGTCCGAGTGCCTCTGTTCGCTCAGCCACCTGGTGAACTGGCAAGGACAGCAGAGATGGAAACATCTGATCATCTTCAAAAAAAGACAATGACTGAGAGATCATAAAATGATTTATATCTGAAGTGGATGTTTCATATGGTGAGAAACATTACCCCATCTTGATAATCCACAACTTCACTTTGGCAAATACAAACAGCAGATTTTTGATATGGGCTGCCCGCACTGACTCTGGACGTTGTCTGGTATAAATTTAATCTTCCTTCACTTTACACAGTTTAACCCCTAGATGAAAATGCATATTGTGCCTTCTCACACAGAATCATTTAGGAAGACTTCAATGTAAATACAACCCAGTAGTGAATTATTCAGACAGCCTCAGGCAGCAGATAAAGACAGAGAGGTCCTGCCTCTGTCAGCAGTCTTTAGACAAGTGTCAATAACTGAAAGACTAAACGTATGCAACTGCTATGGTCAGATTCAGACCGGAAAATCAAATCTGTGCACATAAACCTATCAATGTGGAATAGACATTATTCATCCCAGAAATGATTCTGAATATTGATAAATACTGAATATTCTGTCGCCCCCTTCAGTTTATTTAAAAAACATGATCCCATTTGATGGTTTCCACCAGAAAAAGCATCAACATAAAGATTAATTATGGGCAGATCCACAAAGCTTAGGACAATGCAATTTCAAAGTAACAGATGAAGTTGAATACGACTAACTGAGGATAAGAATTACATTAGGTTACCACAAGTTCATGCAGAACTGTTCCTCCTCCACTGAGGAAATCACTACTCCACCTGAAGGTTTATGCGCTATTCCATTCTAATAATCAGATGTACCATGCCATTTAAAACAGATGGTTCCTATAGAGAAATGTATCCCCATCATATTAATACTCACTAAGGTTGTGCCAAATGCAAATAGTTTATTTAACACTGACAGTAGACACAGTAAGCACTGTAGATCAATTTAATATTCCTTCAAATGTACATTGTAACTCCTAATGAGAAGCAAAAGGGTTTTATCCTCAGAACATAAGGGCAAGGGAAAAGAGCAAATAAAAGAAATGTGAAAACAACATTGGCATCAGAACAAGTGGTCATGAAGCAACAGGATTGTCGTAAAAATCCAACTGGTTTCACTTATGTCCTTTAGAGAAGTAAACCTGCTCTCATTATCCATTCTAGGTCTATATATGACCAGAAGGTCAACTGTCATCTTCTCAGGCTAACTAAAGATAGACAGTGAATACCAGGCTGGTCAGCCATGCCCACATCTTGAAAATGAGTGACTGAAATCTCCTTGTGCATCCTATAAAATGAATTAAGAAATTTTTAAAGTTTTACGTCATTCTTGAATGCAGTTCAAAGAAAGCCAAACACATTTATTGAAGGTGCACAAGTCTTCTCAGAATTCAGAACTGTGTTGAATATTCTACTATTCATTAGCTGTCTCTCCTGAAAGTGTTGTTACTGAGGTTGTAGATTTGCTCACCAAGCCAGTGTGTTTGATTGCAGACATTTTGTCAGCGCTCTTCGGCTGAAGCAATGGTGTTCTGTCCCTTCTGTTATTTATATGCCTCAGTTTGCTGGGGTGCTTGGCATTACTTCCGGTTCTGTTTTTCAGTGGTTTGTATATGGGGTCCAGTTCAATGTGTGTGTTGATGGAGTTCCGGTTGGAATGCCAGGCCTCCAGGAATTCCCTGGCATATCTCTGTTTGGCTTCTGCTACTATGGATGTGTTGTCCCAGTCGAATTTGTGTCCTTCTTTGCTTAAGCACCAGCTAGCCACCAAGAGGCAAGACAATTCTCACTGGTCTCAATACACACAGACAAAGAACGGCATGAATTCGACTGGGACAATACATCCCTAGTAGCATGAGCCAAACAGAGACATGCCAGGGGATCCCTGGAGGCCTGGCATTCCAACTGGAACTCCATAAACAAACACATTGAACTGGACCTCATATACAAACCACTGAAAAACAGAACAGAAGTAATGCCAACCACCCTAGCAAACCGAGGCATATAAATAACAAGAGGGACAGAAGACCAACGCTTCACCCAAGGTGCACTCTTGATGTTACCTAGAAGAGTGACAAAATGTCCGCAATCAAACACACTGGCTCGGTGAGCAAGTCTACAACCTCAATCCCAACCCGAGCTACAAATCTTCTCAAAAACTTTTAAGTGTTGGGATTGTACAGCCAACGTTATCAATCTGCTCCATGACCTCTGTTCAATGCAGTGAGGTCTACTTTGTCAGTTGAAGTAACTACAGCTTCCTGGTTCCCATTCAAGTAAAACAAAATGAAAACATTTCATACAGTTCAGTAATAAATAGGGAGAGAGGGGGAGGCAGATAGAAGATGGATAGAGGAGAAGATAGGTGGAGAGGAGACAGACAGGCCAAAGAGACGGGGGTGGAGCCAGTAAAGGTGAATGTAGGTGGGGAGTTAGGGAGGGGATAGGTCGGACCAGGGAGGACGGACAGGTCAAGGAGGCAGGATGAGGTTAGTGGGTAGGAGATAGGGGTGGGGCTTGAGGTGGGAGGAATGGTTAGGGAGGCAGGGACAAGCTGGGCTGGTTTTGGGATGCGGTCGGGGGAGGGGAGATTTTGAAGCTTGTGAAGTCCACATTGGGCTGCAGGGTTCCCATGTGAAATATGAGATGCTGTTCCTGCAGCTTTCGGGTGGCATCGTTGTGACACTGCAGGAGACTCAGGATGGACATGTCGTCCAAGGAATGGGAGGGGGAGTTGAAATGGTTCGCAACTGGGAGGTGTAGTTGTGTGTTGCGAACCGAGCATAGGTGTTCCGCAAGCAGTCCCCAAGCCTCCGCTTGGTTTCCCCGATGTATAGGAGGCCACAACGGGAACAGCGGATGCAGTATACCACATTAGCAGATGTGCAGGTGAACATCTTTTTGATGTGGAAGGTCTTCTTAGGGCCTGGAATGGGGGTGAGGGGGGAGGTGTGGGGGCAGGTGTAGCACTTGCTCCGGTTGCAGGGAAAAGTGCCGGGTGTGGTTGGGGTGGAGGGGAGTGTGGAGCAGACAAGGGAGTCACGGAGAGAGTGGTCCCTCCGGAAAGCAGATAAGGGTGGGGAGGGAAAAATGTCTTTGGTCGTGGGGTCAGATTGCAGATGGCGGAAGTGTCGGAGGATGATGTGTTGGATCCAGAGATTGGTGGGGTGATACATGAGGATGAGGGGGATTCTGTTTTGGTTATTATTGCGGGTAGGGGGTGTGAGAGATGAGTTGCGGGAAATGCTAGAGACACGGTTGAGGGCGTTTTCGACCACTGTGGAGGGGAAGGTGCGGTCCTTGAAAAACAAGGACATCTGGGATGTCCGGGAGTGGAATGCCTCATCTTGGGAGCAGATGCAGCGGAGCCGAAGGAATTGGGAATAGGCGATGGCATTTTTGCAGGAAGATGGGTGAGAGGAGGTGTATTCTAGGTAGCTGTGGGAGTCGGTGGGCTTGAAATGGATATCGGTTTCCAGGTGGATGCCAGAGATGGAGACAGAGAGGTCCAGAAAGGAGAGAGAGGTATCAGAGATGGTCCAGGTGAACTTAAGGTTGGGGTGGAAGGTGTTAGTGAAGTGGATGAACTGTTTGAGCTCCTCGTGTGAGCACGAGATGGCGCCGATACAGTCATCGATGTAACAGAGGAAGAGGTGGGGGATAGGGCCAGCGTAGCTTTGGAAGAGGGATTGTTCCACATATCCTACAAAGAGGCAGGCATAGCTTGGGCCCATGCGGGTATCCACGGCCACCCCCTTTGTCTGTAGGAAGTGGGAGGAATTGAAAGAGAAGTTGTTGAGGGTGAGGACGAGTTCGGCTAAGCCGATGAGGGTGTCAGTGGAGGGGGACTGGTCGGGCCTGCGGGACAGGAAGAAGTGGAGGGCCTTTAGGCCATCTGCATGGGGAATGCAGGTGTATAGGGACTGGACGTCCATGGTAAAGATGAGGTGTTGGAGACCGGGGAATTGGAAGTTTTGGAGGAGGTGGAGGGTGTGGGTGGTATCATGGACGTAGGTAGGGAGTTCCTGGACCAAGGGGGAGAAAATGGAGTCGAGATAGGTGGAGATAAGTTCGGTGGGGCAGGAGCAGGCAGAGACAATGGGTCGACCAGGGCAGTCAGGTTTGTGGATTTTGGGAAGGAGATAGAAACGGGCAGTGCAGGGTTGGGGAATGATGAGGTTAGAAGCTGTGGGTGGGAGGTCACCTGAAGTGATGAGGTTATGGATGGTTTGGGAGATGATGGTTTGGTGCTCGGGGGTGGGATCATGATCAAGGGGGCGGTAGGAGGAGGTGTCAGAGAGTTGGCGTCTGGCCTCGGCAATGTAGAGGTCTACTACAACTACATACTACAACTGCGCCTCCCTTGTCCGCAGGTTTTATGGTGAGGTTGGGATTGGAGTGGAGGGAGCGGAGGGCTGCACGTTCTGCGGGGGAGAGGTTGGAATGGGTGAGAGGGGTGGAGAGGTTGAGGCGATCGATGTCTCGACGGCAGTTAGAGATGAAGAGGTTGAGGGAGGGTAGGAGGCCTTGGGGTGGTGTCCAGGAGGAGGGGGTGTGTTGGAAGCGGGAGAAGGGGTCAGTAGAGGGAGCGTTAGGCTCACGGTTAAAGAAGTAAGCGCGGAGGCGGCGGAAAAACTGTTCAATGTCCAAACGCGAGTTGTATTCGTCGATGTTTGGGTGGAGGGGGACAAAGGTGAATCCTTTACTGAGGACTGACAGTTCGTCCTCAGTGAGGGGGAGGATGGTGAAGACTCGGCAGGGCTGGGTGCTATTGTCTCCTCTGGAGCTGCTGGCTGTGGAGGTGGTGGGCGGAGCGACGTCAGTGGTGGGCGGAGCGACATTGGCGGTGAGCAGAGCGACGTAGGCCGGTAAATCTTGGATGTTAGTGGCAGCAGCGTCCTCGATGTCTGTGTTGTCGGCCTCAGAAACGGAGGCGGCGGCATCAGCAGCGGTGTCGATGACGTTGGCTGTACCAGAAGTGGTGTGCCGGGCGGCGGCAGATGTGACGTCATCCGTGGAATCCGTGGGTGCTCCAAAGGTGGCCACATGGCAAATGGCGGCGGGCACATGGTGGTGAAGGTCCTGGGTAGGGTGGCAGGCACCAGTAAGTTTAAAGTACTTTCGGTTTTTAGTGTCCAATAAAGCAGAGTAGAATTGTGAGTTCAGGTTGTGGATCTTACGAAGAATAAAAAACAGGAGAGGTCCTTTGCAGGTCTGGGAGAGGCAGGCTCTGAGCTGGGGTAGGCTTAATTGTAGTATCTGGAGATGCCGGCGCATTGCAGTGAGTGTGTATTTCAGGAGCTGCAGGGAGAAACGCTTCTGTTGGATATCAATGTTCTGAATGTAGCGGTCGTCGCGGTTGGGGCCAAACTGGGAAGGCCTAAATGTAGACTATAGTCTGTTGGGGATGATCCAGTTCCGTAGGCAGGTACTCAGAAAGGTAATGTGGCTGTAGTACCTGGTTTGCTTTAGGACGTGGTCGAGCAGTTTCAGGGCTGAAGAGATTACAGGAGGGTTGCAGTGGGAGAGGGATACACTGAGGTTTTTCCGGAGGGAGGAGGTAACTTCTTTAAGGTAGGCATCCTTAGAAAAGGCTTCGCAGTGGGGTTAAAATTGTTTCAGAGATAGTAGGAACTGCCGATGCTGGAGAATCTGAGATAACAAGGTGTAGAGCTGGATGAACACAGAAGGCCAAGCAGCATCAGAGGAGCAGGAAGGCTGACGTTTCGGGCCTAGACCCTTCTTCAGAAATGGGGGAGAGGAAGGGGATTCTGAAATAAATAGGGAGAGAGGGGGAGGTGGATAGAAGATGGATAAAGGAAAAGATAGGAGGAGAGGAGACAAACAGGTCGAAGAGGCGGGGATGGAGCCAGTAAAGGTGATGTAGGTGGGGAGTTATGGAGGGGATAGGTCGGTCCAGGGAGGACGGGACAGGTCAAGGAGGCGGGATGAGGCTAGTAGGTAGAAGATGGGGGTGGGGCTTGAGGTGGGAGGAGGGGATAGGTGGGAGGAAGGACAGATTAGGGAGGTGGGGACAAGCTGGGCTCAACCCGAAACGTCAGCTTTCCTGCTCCTCTGACGCTGCTTGGCCTGCTGCGTTCATCCAGCTCTACACCTTGTTATCTCAGATTCTCCAGCATCGGCAGTTCCTACTATCTCTGATACAGTTCAGTACATGCTTTTGATTTTTTTCCATTTTACAGTTCAGACTTTCCTCCTTGTCTAAAACAAACCATTAACCTTTCAGAGGCAACTGGGTCCACAACTTGCAGAGCTGGATGAACACAGCAGGCCAAGCAGCATCATAGGAGCAGAAAGGCTGACGTTTCAGGCTGAAGGGTCTAGGCCCGAAACATCAGGCTTTCTGCTCCAATGGTGCTGCTTGGCCTGCTGTGTTCATCCAGCTCTACACCTTGTTATCTCAGATTCTCCAGCATCTGCAGTTCCTACTATCTCTGGGTCCACAACTTGCCTTCTTCATCTTACATTTCTTGAGAAAGTAATTCGTTCTTTTGATGTTAGGCCATGCAAACATACCATTAGCAATACAAGAGCACAAGGATAAAGTGCTACAGCCTTCACTATCAAGTTAATCCATGGTCTATTATCCATCATATAATTGGATATTAGGATGGAATCAATGAAGAGACCTTGACAAGAGCCAAGATGTTCACAATTCCAAAAGGGTAAAGATTTGTTTTAAATGGGCCAGTACAGCCCCAAGGAAAAGAGACTTGAATCAAAACAAAAACCCAAATTTGCTACTTCAGGTTAATTTGTATTTCTTGAATTTTCTCTTTTTTTGATAAAAATATGTGCATTCAGATGCAAAGCATACAGCGTACCCTTCTACTGATTTTTCTCATCTCGCTAATTTTGTCACTTTAGCAATATCAGACACTGTAAATGGGACAGAAGCTGGTTTATCTGATCTATTAGAGCTGGTTGTTTGAGGTCTCATAGGAGATGCCGCTCTCTGGTACATTAACGAGCAATAGATCATTTGTTGATTGTTCTTGGATACAGTCAAGCAGATTCTAGCATGAGTAAGGGATGATGACTCAGTGGTTAGCACAGGTCCAGGGACCTGGCTTCAATTCCAACCTTGGGCGACAGTCTGTGTGGAGGTTGCATGTTCTCCCTGTATTTGCATGGGTTTCCTCCGGGTGCTCCGGTTTCCTTCCAAAGTCCAAAGATGTACAGGTTAGGTGGATTGGCCATGCTTAAAAATTACCCTGTGGTGTCCAATAATGTGCAGGTTAGGTGGGTACACCATAGTAAAAAAAAACCCACATGTGGTGGAGGGGGAGGCTGCGTCTGGGTGGGATGCTCTTCAGACGGTCAGTGCAGACTTGATGGGTCGAATGGCCTCTTTCGGCACTGTAGGGATTCCATGATTCTAAAGGAGGTGGCCATATCTGATTGAATAGAACACAATGTACATTGGATATACTCAAGCACCTTCAGGCTCTCAGAAAACAAATTCTGAGCTGGTAATTCAGATCAGATACTCTAGTGAGTAAATACTCAAGAGCCAGTTCATGAAGAAATGGAGAAATCTGATGGGGACCAGAAAAACCAATATTGTTGATCTCGGTATATTAAGGATTTGAGACAACACCACAATCGACCTGCTCAGAAACAGCTCAAGAATTGGTTACAGTGAAAGACCTGAGGATCAACTTGGTGGGATAAATTTGGCATAGTGCAAGTGTTCTCAACTTCGTTGCTCCCAAGGACCCTCTTGAGTTACGGAAATTTCACTGGGCTCCTGTAGAGTAACCATTTCTTCTCTGTATAAAACCAGTGATACTCAGAAGAAAAATATATAGACCCTATTTTCTGCATATAAACCAACGTTTTCCCAGCTACCTTCAATTCTGAGGAAGGGTCACTGGACTCGAAATGTTCACTCTGATTTTTTCTTCAAAGATGCTGCCAGACCTGCTGAGTTTTTACAGCAACTTCTGTTTTTGTTCTAGATTTAAAGTTATCTTTGTTTTGCTTACAACTCGGTTGCTAACATCCAGTCTTTCCCTTTCCTTGTTTGGTATTGACTCTTTTCTCCAAAATCCAACTGACCAGGGAGACCTCACATCATTAGCCTTCAAATGCACAGATTCCTTTACTTTTAGCAAGCATTTTTAAAAATTCTATTTGCCTATATATGCTACTGGACACAATTTGAATTCCCGAAGGCAGAGCAGATTGTAAATCAGCTTGAGAGGGGCACAGTGGAACCACATGCAGGGGATGGAATGAAGGAGCAAAGGAAGCATGGGCTTGGAGGATCGTTTACCAAAAAAACTGCTGCAAGTAATCATCTCACTGGGGAACCATGAGCTGATGCTTCAAGTCAGGGCAATGATTCTCAGTGCTGTATGCCTGACAACTCAATATCTTATCTTCATATCCTATCCCAGTTTCCATCATTGCTCTGTGTCCACTGTGTGTGTGAACCTGCTCTGTTTTCTTTACACACTTCATCCAGGATCCTGTGTGATTACTGACGGATTCTTCGTTGAATAAACTCTCATTGAATGGCATCTCTTGATTGACAGAGCACCTTGTGGAGGCTCCAATTATGAATGGCCTATTATCGTATCAGTTTGTTTTTCATACACATAATCTGGTTGTTTTTGGCAGACTCTTTAAACCCTTGCATGGATCACCCACTGGTTGACAGCTCCTGGTATAGTGGACAGACACTAGTTTATACAGAGTACCATGTTTAATAATTGGAAACCTCACTGTGTCTCCAGTGCACTTTTGTAGCAGGACACTTTCCTATTGTTTTGGCATTCATTTCTCTTTTTAAACCAAAGTTGCATTTAAAAGCAGGTAACATTTCTGCACTGGAAGAAGGCAGGAGAATATCTGTGAGCTTGGCACCTTGTGAAAGATTCATTCATACCTTTGGGATCAGTGCTCCTAAAATGGTTTGGCTCATTCCCTTCAAGTGTAAGAACTTTACTCACAATACATTCTTGATGGGGACTGATATAGATACGCCAAGCACTGTTCAATTGTAAGACCAATTCCTGAAAATCTTTCACATGGACGACACAGAGCATGCCTGGGTAAAAGCAGACATGATCTGTTTACCCTATGCAACCACCTATACAATTACAGATTATTTTAAAATCCACACACACGCAGACAAACACATTTAGCAACTAGCTATACAATTACTGATTATTTTAAATCCATACACACATTTCAGCAACCAACTGTACATTTACTGATTACTTTTAAAATCCACACACACACACAAACACATATTTAGCAACCATCTATACATTTACTGATTATTTTTAAAATCCACACACACACACAAACACACACTTAGCAACCATCTA